CGGTGCCCGGGCCACCCTGTTTCCCACCGCAGGGCACTGCTCACCGATTGCATTCGCTTCAGCGTCACCCTCGGCTGAGTCACACCAGCCAGAACGTCCCTCCAAGGCGCGGGCGGGGGGCGGAAATAGATGAGAGTGGACCCAAAAACAAATTGTGCAATGGGCAGTGATGCTCGTGGGCCAGGCATGCTCGGAGGGGACCTGCCCCGGCACCCCGGCTCCTGCCCAGCTTGCCGAGGGCTCAGCACCAGCATAGCAAAGCTGTCAGGGCTGCTCTGCCAACTGCACCCTGGGCAGGGCTGTCTCAAAGGGCGAGGAGGGCCCGTGGCTGCTGGGAGCCCTGGGTGTATGTGGCACTGCCAGGGACTGGGGTCTCTTGAGGAGAGAGAGGCGAGCAGCATGCCCGGCTGTTTTGGAGAAGTTCAGATGAGGGAAGGGTTCCTGACCCTGGCTGAGCTTCTGCACCGTGGCCGAACGCAGCGGCAGAGCACGCTCAGCCTCTTGCATGCGCCCCGTGAAGGTCGGTGGGAGCATGGGTTAATGCAGAGGAGGATGCAGCGACGTGATGAAGGCAGGGCCTTGCAGCAGGGCTTCTGAAGAAAGGCGTTTGCTAAGCTGCCGCACCACATTTCATCAACTTCTCAGGAAAATTTTCCAATCCGAGATGGCTGGCTGATGAGTCAGCCAACAGTAAGAATTTTTGTTTGGTTTTTGTATCCTGTGCCCTAGGAACACCGAATTCCCAAACAGGGAAACATGTGCAGCCGGACTGCAGTAAGTGTGTTTATCCTTTACGTGACGCTAGGTACCCCCGTCGCGCTGCAACAGAGAGCGCCCGACTGCATCCCCCCCGGTGTGGGATGAGCAGCCGCGTAAAAGGCTTCTTTCATGCTGGAGGATTTGGCATCTCCCTGCAGACATCCCCCTGAAAGCAGAAAAACCTGTACGGGGCTTTTCACGAGGAGAACAGAGGACGCTTGAACCCTGCTACGTCTCACGCCGTCCCCTGTGAATAGGGCACTGTCCCAGGGGTTACCGCGGGCCTGGCCGTGTGCCCAGGCTGCGGCACGGTGGCTCTATTTTGGCAACAGAAGAGAGCAGGTTGGATGGGTGCGTGGCTGAAGGAGTGGGAAGATGGGTGGCGAGGGTGAGCGCAGCGCTGCGCAGCAAGGACGGGAGTGCAGCCTCGGGCAGGTGAAACCACGCGGTAGGAAAATACAGCAGGCATCGTGCAGAAACGCAGGAGAAAACAGAGCAGGAGGCGTCTTCAGCAGCATCGTGATGTCTTCCGAGCAAGCCAGAAGCCACGGTGGAAGGCCAAAGCCAGGAGCGAGGCAAAAGCCCTTACGCAGTTAGTGGCTCTTGAGTGTAAGTTGAATTGTTGTGGCTTCGACCCATATTTTGGGTCCTATTGAGAGAGCCCCTCTGCTTTGCAGGGCTGTTGTAGTTCTGCTCAAGTTAATCTCCCTGTTTCCACACTGGGCTAAAAGCTTATAAAAGCCCGCCTTTCCCAGCAGGGAGGCATCGGAGAGAGAGGTTCTCTGGAGCTCCCATGGCTCCAGCGGGAGGGCAGGGTGACGGGCTGGCTGCTGGAGCCTCCCCGCCATTACCGACTCCGGGTTTCGTTGGAGTTGTGTTCCCCCTGCGGCAAGAGCGGGCTGGGGGCTTGGCACATGGCTCGCGACCCAGCTCCAGGGTTTATAATGGTTTTTCTGGGACCTGGGTGGTCAATTCTTTCATGATTTCAGCTATGGAGTATGTGCTACGTTTCAGCAGCGCGATTTCCCGGGGAACAAAATGCAGACTATTTCTCCCCATGCAGACGTAGGCTTTCCTCCTCGTATACGAGGTGTGATTATGACCAACAGCCTGCTCCTTCCCTTATACTGGTGGTGCCATTAAAAAGTAACTTGTTAATTTACTTCGTGTTTTCAGTAACTCTCTCCATGCATTCTCTGAAATGACAGTTGCAGAGTCTTGGCAGGATGTAAAAAAAGCAAAAGGGTGCCGCGACATCTCATGCATTGCAGACGTAAGCTGCAATACAGCTTAATTAACAGCGACAGCCACAGCCTGAACACTGCGTTACCTACAAAGCCTTCCAAACCCAGGCAGATTTATTTCTCCTTGATTGCTGGGCGCAGAAAGCTTGGATTCAAAACCGAGGGTGAAAACTTGGCTAAAAACGGCTGCAGGGGCAGCAGCTGTGTGAAGACTGGCTTTGCTCCTAGCTGCTGCTGGGTAACGGTTAATAAGCAATGGTGAAAGAAACAAAACCAGCCACGCCAGGATGGTGTAAAAAAGGTTGGTTTTAGAGCTGCAGAGGTGCACCTGCGACAGCCAGAGCATGTAACAGGGGAGGGTGGCCCCTAAATCCTCCCTCCTCCAGCTCAGGGTTCAGCCAGGGAAGGTTCAGCCACATGAGCCGAGGGTGGTCGCAGCTTTAATGCTCTCAGCGCACAAAAATCGCGTTGCTGCGGCTGAATCCACAGCCACCCGTGGGGAAAGGGATGTGTGGTCCCTATACTGCAGGGCACGGTTGCCAGCAAACGACTGACATCAAGAATCCAGCGCTTACGGTAGCCTAAACTGGCGCGCCCGGCTG